TCAGTGAGGCTGACTTGAGAGAAGAAGAGTGAAATCCAGTGACCAAAAGCTTGTGAACTGGGTTTGTTTCCTTCGTAGCAAAGTGGACTAACGTCTAAGAAGAAAACCCTTTTATTCTTCTTCCTAATTTCTTCATTGTTGCTACAGATAACATCTTTCTGAAGAACTTGCCCATAACTTGTTCGATGAAATGTCTCAACGGAAGAGGACGACGAAGGGGTAGACGAGAAAGAAGACGAAGAGACCCATTTGGTTCGTGAAGTTTGTGGCTTGTCGATGGATTTAGTTGAGAAGGAGAAGAGAGAATTGGGTTGAGCAAATCCTACTGTTATCATCGTCTTCAACCTCTGCGTCTGTTCTACAAGAATACAAGTCAATTAAATTAATTATCCATAGTCGTTTGTTATTCGTTTTATTTTCCGCTGGATGATTTTATATTCCCTAAGAGATTATGCTTTACGTAATGGGCCTTATAATGTGCTTTAAGTGGGTAGTCTCAACTAGGCCTAGGCAAATAAACCGAATCGAATGTACCGAACCGAAACTGAAACAAAAATAATCGAATCGAACCGAACCAAAAATTTAAAAATAACTGTATGGATACTAAATTCTATAACCGAAATAACCGTAATCGAATCGGTACCGAACCGAAATATTTCGGATAACCGAAAATATTTGAAATACAATTATATTTTCAAAAGTACTGGGTATTTGTAGACCAAATAATCTAAATTACTTGAAAAATATATAAAATAATAAAAATAATCAAAAATAATCAAAAATACCCAAAAATAACCAAAATATCCGAAAATATTCAAAGCAAAATAACAGAATGGATACTAAAATTTAAAACCGAAATAACCGGAACCGAACCGAAATTTCAAAATACCCGAATGGATACTAAATTTTAAAACCGAAAGAACCGAAACCTAATGGAACCGAACCGATAACCGATCGGATAACCGAACGCCCAGGACTAGTCTCAACGATATTATCACCATTTGCTAACTAAGAATAGGACTGGACATTTAAACCGAACCGAATGTACCGAACCAAAACCGAAGCAAAAATAACCGAACCGAACAAAAAACTTGGAAATAACCGAATAGATACTAAATTCCATAACCAAGAGAACTGTAACTGAATCGGTACCGAATCAAAATATTTCGGATAACCGAAAATATCCAAAATAGAATTATATTTTTAAAAATATTAGTTATTTATAGACCAAATAATCAAAGTAACCAAAATATCCGAAAATAACCAAAAAATATTCAAAATATCTATAAATACCCAAAATTAATCAAAATATCCGAAAATATCTAAAGCGAAATAACCGAATGGATACTAAATTTCAAAACTGAAAGAACAGGAACCGAACTGAAATTTCAAAATATCCGAATGGATACTAAATTTTAGAATCGAAAAAACTGAAACCGAATAGAACCGAACCGATAACCGATCGGATAACCGAACGCCCAGAACTAACTAAGATGATGTGGAACTTTTTGTTCGGTGATTGGTCAAAAGTATTAATATTTTAAAGTAATAAGGTTTGACTCTCACATAATAAGAATTTTACTAATTATTTAAGGCAAACTTATCGGATCGGAGAAGTCTATACAAGTAAAGATTGTTTTTTTCCCTCCAGTGTGTTATAAGTTTATTGTGAATGTAATGTAGATAAAAAATGTCTATGGTAGATATTTGTGAGACGGGTAAAATTGTCATCTTCGAAAATAAGCAGATAACAAACAAAAGAAGCTGAATTTTAGTAGATTCTTTTTTTTTTTGAATTTCGAATTATATTAACCAACAAAAAAAGAGTATATACAAAATGGCAAATAAAGAAATAAAATACTACTCGACCATCCCGACAACCAGAGAGTGGAGAACAATCCCTACTACTTCCGTCATTAGTTCTAGAGAGTTTTAGCAAAGTCTCGATGAAAACCATCGTAGTAAACATCGAAAAATCAAGAACACCCTCAAAAATTTGCCAACCGGCATGATACATGCTTCAATGCAGTATTTTCCAACAGAGCCTAACTAGATTTTATTAAGAAGAGTCAAAACTGAGTAAACAAGTATCTCGTATGGCTATGAAAAGCCGTATGTCGAACTAGAAGGTGTGACACTCGTTATAATGCTAGGAACCCCAAAAAGTTCACAAACCATCAAATCCTTTTTCGGGGAAATGGCATACCGCCTTTATGAAGGACACGAGGTGTAAGAAAAACATAGAGGGAGGAAAAATTGAGCTTCCCATTGAGGATACCGTTACAATGCGAGAAGAAACCAACGTTAAGAGAGACGGTCATGTCCACTAGAATTGTTCCAAATATTATAGTGGCTTAACAGTGTTAGGGTCTATGTATTATTTTGTACAAAACTTGAAGGTACAAAATTCACATTTATGGTTAATTAGGATATGTTCTCGCATATTAGTATAAATTGTTTATAAATTTATCTAGGTTCATTTGTGAGGGTATGCAAAATCCGATTTTATTCCCAGCTCCGCGAAAAATAAAACTTCGAGAATGCTTTCACACAGACTAAACGACAAGAAAGTCGCATGATAACATCATATTTCTACCCATTTTACTAGTTTTTAATAAGAATTTCAAGTGATATATAGAAGTTTTTAAGATCTTTTTCAAGTATATATAGTTTCGAGACTCTTTACAAGTTTTTGGACAAAAATGCACAAAATGCAACAATACGAGCTTAAAGATAGTTTTGAAGCATCGAAAGTTTGGCATCTGTTGAAGGTTTTACCGTGCAATAAATTGAACATTTTTGGAGTCATTGAAAAGATAGAAGATTCACCATTCCCCTCCAAGTAGAATGAGACCAAACTATCAATCTATTCAGAAGTTATCTGGATTTTAGTAGAGACTTATCCAACCACGCCAAAGAACAGCAAGCCACGGCCAAACAACTCTTCACAACGCCCTACTGCCATGCGTTCGCACCCAAACTCACATTTGTTGTGCCTCCAAGCCCTGCTATGGCGGCCAAGATTTGAAGTTCCCTCATTTAACCAAAACGACACCATTTCAACGTTTACGCGTCCGAGAAGCTCTAAACTGACTTGTGAAACCCAAGACCTATAAATACGTGAAGACCCACCTCTTTTCACATGACGCTTCTTAGTTTGATTTCATTCTTTGAATTCAATCGTGTAACTTCATTACCTCTGTAGGATCTATCCATGACCACACATCATTACACACCATGAGCGCTAAAAAAAAACACCCAAATAGTAGTGGCGCCTACCAAACTACAACATATTAGACAACATTGAAAATTTGAGGCACATATCGAAGTGTTTGAAGGATACCTAATACGAATGTGCGACAAATATTTTTTCATGATGAACTCCTTAATTCTTACCGAGTCGATGCTTCCAAAAACTCCTGGTCATACCTTGTTGCTAGTTATACAGAATATAATGACCGAGTGGGTAAATTTATTTCTAACAGCCAACACACAAGTACACAACTAGAAATGCAACTTGTATATCTCCTATAGAAACAAAATATATAGCAAAACGAAAAGATTAAAAAAGAGTATACTGCTAAAGACAAAAAAAGATTCTAACTACATGGCACCAAATTTATCGTTGGTGCAACATTAAAAAATTTCATATACAAGATTACAACAAAACAAAAGACGAAAGTAAAGCGAACTAGCTAGGGCCATGATGCATTGGGACGGGAAAAACTAGGCAAGTCAGAATGCTTAGATCGGTAAGAGTTTTGTATCTCATATCAAAGACCAATCTAACACTGCCAATGGCATTACACATGACATATACAATAAAGTGATCAAGGATCGAAGCAACCACCTTCTATATGTAAGGATAACTAATACCACTAGACTACAAAACAATTTTACAAATTTGATTGCTTCTTAAAATAAATAGGATTGTTGCCTAAAACATCAACTTCCTGGGCTTTAGGTATAGGCCGGTCCTGAGTGGCGTCATCTTATTTTGCCTTAACCATGGTTACATTCCTACAACCTCCTAGTCTTAGCAAAAATAGACTTATTCCCTTCCATACAAGCATGAATCCTTCGATAAAGATTTTCAATAAAATATGTTATATGTCCCGACATTGTTTCTCTCCTCAATTGCAGGAGTCCCATACGGAAGATTGATTCCAGGTTGCTTTGCCTAACATACAGTAAAGAGTAAAGTCATGAAATGAAGAGCGAGATGAAAAAAATCTAAAGAGTTCTCATCTGAATTTTTAAGGACAAAATAAAAGCCACCAATATAAAACATAGGGAAAAATGCTTGGATGACGTTCGATTTGAGAGGCAGCGACAAGCTCTTGTATGCTCTTGATGGAACCCATCATACTATAAGCCATACCCTCCCTTGTAAGGCTAATCAACCACCTCCGGTAATCAACCCCCGATGCAAGGACATTACCTTTAGCCATGGAACACATGCAAATTCACATCCTAGATAAATGGAAAGGGGAAGATGCCCTTGGAAAATTCCCCAAAGAGCGATAATATATGAGAAACCAGTTCATAAGAGAACCATAAAAATTTTAAGGGAAGACAAAAAGAAAAAGCTAACACGAGATGTATCATAAATCCCATATGAAAGGTCTGATAACGACTCTAGAGAATTCCTATTCATGCAATAGTATCAAGCAAGAACTCCTATTTAAATTTTATATGGCTATGTAAAAAAATTTCTATGAAAAAAATGTTTTGTTTGTAAGTATTAAAATTTTTCTATATTGTTCAACTTATATATGGATAATGCATATGTTGATTTTGGTAACTTAATCAATCAACATATAAGAAATTTAATTTTTTATATGTAGTCAAAATATGAAAATATTAATGACATTTCTCTAAATTACCTTTATTAAATTTTGGTAACCTTATTAAATTTAGTATTCAAATCTAAGAAAATATTTTAATGTATTTTGATAGGTTCCCACCTATAAATATGCTATCTTGCGGTCCCATGGTAGCGAGAGAAGTTGAGGAAAGGGAAAAAGTGGTCTTATAATTGTTGAGATAACAAATTTTGGTATACCGATCTTTGGATAAGAGCCGATGGAAAGTGGCAATGTTGTGAATGCACAACCTGAATTATCAGGCATAAGTAAGAAATTTTGACTTTTTTTTTATTTTATTGAAAACTTTTTGGGTTATATTGTTTTGGTATTTGTTCAGCAGCTGATGGATCAAAGAGCTATATGTACGAGCAGTTATGGAAACTTGTGCTGACCTTTGTGTGATATTCCAAAACAGGGAGAAAAAGTTTATTATTTTCCTCAAGGCCACATAGAGCTTGTGAGCTCTCTCTCCTCTCTCTCTCTCTCTCTCCTCTCTCTCTCTCTCTCTCTCTCTCTCTCTTTCTCTCTCTCTCTCTCTCTCTCTCTCTCTCTCCTCTCTCTCTCTCTCTCTCTCTCTCTCTCTCCTATGTTTTGTTCTTTCGTTATAAAACATTTTGACGGCTTTTTCAGGTTGAGGCATCTACAGAAGAAAAGTTGAATGAGTTACAACCAATTGTTGATCTTCCTTCTAAGCTTCAATGTCGTGTTATTGCTATTAAGCTTAAGGCATATCTCTTTGATGTTTTTAGCGAATACACATGAACACATCTGATTTCTTTATAAAAATAATAATTAGTTAACTGTTTGATGTTTGATTTTAGGTGGAAAGAAATAGTGATGAGACTTATGCTGAGATTACTTTGATGCCAGATACAACTGTGAGCAAAATATTTAGAATTTCTCTTTTATTTTTTAGTTAATTCTATTTTTTCTCCTATTATATCTCACTTATATTCTAATTTTTTTTTAATGTTTAGCAAGTTGTAATCCCTACTCAGAATGAAAATCAATTTAGGCCATTAGTTCATTCCTATTCAAAGGTTTTAACAGTCTCAGATACAAGTGCCCATGGTGGATTCTCTGTTCCGAGAAAACTTGCCATTGAATGTCTCCCTCCGCTGGTATTTAATGTTTAGTTTTTCTTTTATGAAACGAATTCTAATTTTAAGCTTTCATTAGACATTTACACATTAATTTTGCTTTAGGATATGTCTCAGCCTTTACCGGCACAAGAACTTCTTACTATAGATCTCCATGGTAATCAATGGAGATTCAAACACAGCTATAGAGGTATAAATCCTTTTATTCATATAAATATAAGAATATTATGACTAGTAACTAACAATCTTCTTGTTCCATGCAGGTACACACCGCGAAGACATTTGTTAACAACAGGTTGGAATGCATTCATAACATCCAAAAAATTGGTTGCAGGAGATGTTATTGTATTCCTTAGGTATAATATTGTTTCTTTTTATATATCTTTTGGTTATTGAGTTTTGGACTTTAAACTATTTACTTGTGGTTCTAGGGGAGAGACTGGAGAGTTACGAGTTGGTATCAGACGAGCGAGATATCAACAAGGGAACATACCTTCATCACTAATATCAATAGAAAGTATGAGACATGGGGTAATTGTTTCTGCAAAGCATGCTTTTGATAACCAATGTATGTTCATTGTGGTTTACAAGCCAAGGTAATTCAAAGAACTATTTGAACTCACATTTATGGTTCTATTGATTTATCAATAGATTAGTTTCTTCAACATGTAGGTTTATATTTTGTGTCTGTATAAGTATCAGGTCAAGTCAATTTATTGTCAATTACGATAAATTCTTAGACGCCATGAACAATAAGTTCAATGTCGGGTCAAGATTTACAAAGCGGTTTGAGGAAGATGATTTTTCTGAAAGAAGGTAACATTATATCAAAACTATTTTTCTTCTTAAATATATCTCTAATGTCTAATATTATCTATAATAACACATTTTATTGTATTAATTAAGATGTTTCGGGACAATTATTGGAGTTAGTGATTTCTCTCCTCATTGGAAATGTTCAGAATGGCGTAGCTTAAAAGTAAAATTCTCTTCACACTTTATAAAATTCTTTTAAAAGTACGTTTTTGAGTGCAATAAATAACATATCACTAAGTAACTCTCATTTTACAGGTGCAGTGGGATGAATTTGCATCATTTCCGAGGCCTGATAAAGTTTCCCCATGGGAAATCGAACATTCAACGTCTTCGTCAAATGTTCTCCGGTCATCTATGCTTAAGAACAAACGTTCACGAGAAGTTAATGAAATCGGTATAAAAAGACTCTCTTATAATCTTTATTTAAGTAACTAATATCTATTTAAAGAATTAAAGATTCTTTATTAATACCTTCTCATTATACCTATTATATATAGGTTCTTCATCATCACACCTCTTGCCTCCTATATTGACACAAGGACAAGAAATTGGACAACCAAGCATGACCTCCCCGATGAATGTTCCTCTTAGTTATCCTGATGCAATTGAAGATGATTCGACTCCTTCTAGGTTGCTAATGAGCTACTCTGTTCAGACAATGCCCCGACTAAATCACAATAACGATCAAATGGTTACACCAATAGAAGGAAATATAACAAACAATGGAGGCGCTAGTTGTAGAGTTTTTGGAGTCTCTCTTGCCACTCCTCCAGTGATCAAAGATCCCATTGAAAAAATTGACTCAGATCCAAACTCAGAGATTTCTAAACTTTCTCAAGAGAAACTTTTTGGTCTAGGCCAAATGAGATCACAAAGAGAGATCCAAAGCAAGCAGGTGAGTTCTACCAGAACCTGTACCAAAGTAAGTATAATTAAGATCAATATATTCTACTCTTTATATATGAATCTTTTTCTCATTTTACTCAACTCATGCAATTTTGATATGGAACAGGTTCAAATGCATGGTGTAACACTAGGAAGAGCTCTGGATTTAAGTGTTCTTAACGGATATGATCAGCTAATACTGGAATTGGAGAAAACTCTTTGATCTCAAAGGCCAGTTGCAAAATCGCAACCAATGGGAAATAGCTTTCACAGACAATGAAGAAGATGAGATGCTTGTTGGAGACGATCCATGGCCGTAAGTTTCCTTTCTCTTTCTATCTATTGAAAAATTAGTTATAATCTTGAGCAATATTAATATTTCATTTTTGGTGTTCTTTGCATATAGTGAATTCTGCAACATGGTGAAGAAGATAATCATATTTTCAAAAGAGGAGGTCAAAAACTTTAAGTCCGGAAATAGTCTCTCAAATTGAATCAATAATCAAAACATATGTAATAAAAAAAGGGGTAGAAAATGTTACCGGTGTCTTGGTGTCTTGTTTTTTATTTCTTTCTCTTATTTGTTGTTGCAATCCGTTTGTATTATGTACTTCTATTCCATCGTCCATAAATAAAATAAAATCCCCTTGTTGTCGTGATATCAAGCTTTCTTTCTTATTCATACAATCTACTTACCACAGCTACATTCTAAAGATTTGAGTGTAGTATTTCTTTTATGATATTTTGAAAAGAAAATTGTAACGCTAAGTATATAGTCATTGAATAAATTAAAAATTTATTCTACCTATTCTAGTACTTTAACCAGATATTTTGGAGATATAAACAATAAATTGCTGTAAAATATGGTTATATTTTTTATAACTAATTTTTTTTTAATCTATCACTACTATTGTATCACCACTCACCATAAAAAATTAAAAAAACAATTATTGCAATTGATTGAAAACTAGGGAAGTCGGCCAATTTATATTCCAATAAAACTACTAAGTCGAAATCATACAAAAAATTAGGTATTGTGTCAATGTATACTTCAAGTATATATCATGATTACAGGGATTCATAAACAAGGGTAGATGCAAAAAAGATATAAAAAGTTATCATAGATCGGGGCGTAACGGCATCACGAGTATTCAGATTTTTAGTGAATAGTTTTTCCTTCATTTCACATGCATGAATTGTATTAAGACAGTAAATAATGTAGATTTTTGTTTTTGGTAGATTAAGGAATAAGGATACTATGTGATTTGGAAATTTAAAATGTAACTTATATAAAAAATTGGGAATATAAGCAGATTTATGGTGATTACTAAGAACAAAATAGATAATGTCACAAAGGAGGGAAGGAAGATAAAAGGAGGGAGGACCAAGTTGTATATTTCTAACTTAAAATAATAAATTTTTTGGCAAACCAAAATTAATATGAATAATCACTCTTGTAAAATAATATTGGTTGCATAGATGTTACATATTTGTTTCACAAACGTTATAGTTTATATATGCAAGAATACTAAGCAAAAAATAAATCTATTGTTGAATGCATAGTATGATTTATTGCATTCGAATAATGAGCAAATAATATCATATTCAAATACGACTTTATATATTTTGTCTTGTTTGTGCATAACTGAAAGTATAAAACACACTTGAATATATCTATAATTGTAGGCATAATTAGTCTGGACTATAAGAAAAAACATCTTTCCAACGCTCGTGGATGTGGCGAAAGATTCTTAATCTGAGAGACACGGCCAAAGAATTTCACAAGGTGGAAATCAAAAGTGGCAAGCACTTCCTTTTGGTATGATATGATCAATGATCCTCCATAGGAAGATTGTTTTATATACTCGGCGATAGAGGATGCATGGACCTCAGGATTACTAAGAGTATGATGATTGAAGATGTGTTATTAAATTCTTGAAGGAGAAGGCACCGTGTCGAGTTGCTGAACAGAATCGAAGTTGAGATAGAAGAAGTTTAAACAAAATTGAAGCTTGATATGGACGATGTTAATCTTTGGAAGTGTCGAACATGTTTCAAAAGGAAGTTCTCAACCTGTGAGACTTGGAAACTATTAGAGTGGAGAGGCCAGTTGCGACTGGGCAAAAAGGGTGTGGTGTTCCCAAGTCGGCTACAAAAAAAATCAACATTCTTATCACGAGAGAAGCGCTATAATACGTCATTGATTGCGTTTTCATAAACGCTGGTTTTGCGCCACACCAAAGTTTGCATTTATAACATGGCTGGGAATGCATAATAAGCTTTCTACGGGGGACCGAATGTTAACTTGGAATCAACGGATCGAATCTTCTGTTCTTTCTGTCAAGAGCCTACAGTGACAAGGGACCATCTCTTCTTTAAATGTCGTTATTCAAGTCAAATCTGGGCAAAGGTATCAAAAGGTTTGTGGAAAGCAACTACATGTTGCGTTGGGACCAACTCAAAATCGTCATCTCATCCCTCTACTCTTGAACCTCAGCCTCTGCTTCTTTTAAGGTATGGGCTTCAATGCATGGTCTACACAATCTGGAGAGAGCTAAATAACCGCATATAGACATGGGCATTCGAGTATTCAGGTCGGGATTTTCGAGTTTGGGTTTTTCGGATCTAGAATTTTTGGACCTCTTCGAGTATTTTAAGATTTTTGGGCAGGTTCAGTTCGGGGGTTCGTGTTCGAGTTTATTCAAATATTCAAAAATCAAAATTTTGTATAAAAATCTATCAAATTACTTCAAAATTTCAGAAATTCCCAAAACAACCCGAGTATTTTTCTTTGAATATATCCAAAAGTAACCGAAAGTACACAAAAATAACCAGAATATCCAAGAAATCCGAATATTTTCTAATATAAGTATAAATGTTACTAATATATCATCAATATATACTTATATTTGAGGTATGTTTGGATACCTGTTCGGGTCGGGTTCGGATTTGGATTTTCGGGTTTTGAAGTTTAGGGCCCATTCGGGTGTTTGAAAATTTTGGGTTCGGGATCGGATCGGGTTCGGGTATTATGCCCATGCCTAACCGCAGACATGGAGAACGTCCTCGATCAGCCCTTCACCTCGAGAAAATCATCGAAAAGACCATCCGCAATAGGATAACATTACTACGAAACTCAGGAAATCGAAAATAAGAAGACCTTCTCATCTACTGGTTTTTCTTTTCGGTTATAAGCTTGTAACATAAGAATCTAACTTTTCTCTACTCAAAAACGATGCACTTGATGTAATACCAGTTTTTTTATGAATAAATTTAACATTTACTCAAAAAAGAAAAGAAGAGATAATTGTAGTAATACATTTATACAGTTCAAAACTGCATCATTAACGACAAAGAAATTCTGAATTTTTTTTTTTTCCACATATTAATTTATGTTCTGTTATGAATCTCGTGTATTCTTATTGATTAATGAATGAGGTTACAACTTATATATATACACAATAGGGGAGACAAATCCCAATTGGACTAGGAAACACTAAAGCCCACTAAGACTAACATAAGCCGTCTTTGGCCTTGGTCGGTTGGGCGAGTCTTCTAGAAGCTAGAACATGGACATGTGCCACGGTTATGGAGTCCATCCGTTATGTGGTTTACAACACTCCCCCTTGGATGACATAACCGTGTAGATGCCAAAGGATCTCAGTAATACGCTTGGGGATGCTGCCTCATTAAAACCTTACCAGGAAAACCCATTGGGACAAAACCATGGTGAAGGAAAAAGAGTACAGCACGTATTACTCCCCCTGTTTTGGTCATCCCTGAAAATCCTTAAGTCTCCGCATTCCAATTTGATGTGTGAGCTTCCTCAATGTCGATGTTGGTAATGCCTTAGTGAATAGGTCGGCTGAATTGTCACTGGATCGGACCTGCACCACTTGAACTTCTCCATCCTTTTGTAGATCATGTGTGAAGAAGAACTTAGGTAGGATGTGCTTCGTCCGATCTCCCTTGATGTAACCTTCTTTGAGCTGAGCGATGCAGGCCGCATTGTCCTCGTACATGACCGTTGGTCCCTTCTCATCGTCCATGCCACAATTAGATCGTATGTGTTGAGTCATCAACCTCAACCACACACACTCACGGCTGGCCTCATGTATTGCCAAGATCTCCGCGTGATTGGATGAAGTGGCTGAGATGGTTTGTTTCATTGAACGCCACAAAATCGCGGTTCCACCGTGTGTAAACACATAACCTGTTTGTGACTTACCATTATGCGGATCTGATTGATAACCTGCATCAGCAAAACCAACTAAACCTTCTTTGTTATGGTTAGTATAGAATAGACCCAAATCAACAGTTCCTTGTAAATAACGTAAAAGATGTTTAATTCCGTTCCAGTGCCTTTGGGTCGGACATGAGCTAAATCTCGATAGGAGGTTCATGACAAAACAAATGTCTGGTCTAGTGTGGCTAGCCAAGTACATTAACGCTCCTATGGCATTGAGGTATGGCACTTCAGGTCCGAGAACTTCTTCCTCGTCCTTCTTTGGACCGAATGGATCACTATCCAATCCGAGGCTTCTCACCACCATTGGGCTGCTCAATGGGTGGGCCTGGTCCATATTGAATCTCTTGAGTACTTTTTCAGTATATGCCTTTTGATGCACAAGGATTCCATTATTCACGTACTCAAGTTGCAATCCCAAACAGAATTTTGTCTTGCATGCCTAGGTCTTTCATCTCGAATTCTTTCTTTAGATATTCTACTGTTTGGGCGATTTCCCCAGAGGTTCCAAGGATGTTCAAATCATCCACATATACTGCTATTATCACAAATCCTTTGTTTGCAAACTTCTTTATGAAGATACATGGACTGATGGGATCATTCTTATAGCCTTCTTTGACTAGGTACTCACTTAATCTATTGTACCACATGCGCCCACTTTGTTTTAGTCCATAAAGCGATTTGTTCAGCCTTATGCAGTATTGGTCTCGAGACCCTTTCTTATCTTTATCTTTGAGCTCAATACCCTCTGGTAATCTCATATATATTTCATTATCCAGTGGACCATATAGATAAGCGGTCACAACATCCATTAACCGCAAATCAAGATTTTCTCTTATTGCCAGGCTTATTAAGAATCTAAAAGTCGTTGCATCCACCACAGGGGAGTATGTTTCTTCATAATCTATCCCCGGTCTTTGTGAGAATCCTTGTGCTACAAGCCGTGCCTTATGTCTCACGATTTCATTATTCTCATTTCTCTTTCTCACAAAGACCTACTTGTGTCCTACTGGTTTTATCTCGGATGGTGTCCTTAAGGTCGGACCAAA